TGGTAAGTGGTTGCTGTGGCCCATAGACATCTACATCTATCCTCGATTACGAATCAAAATAAAGATACGTTGTCACCCGTGAGGACTATGATGGAATGCCTCATCTCCAGTAAAAAGGGTCTCCGGTTCTCTACACTCACCATACGAAACACAGCAGCCTTAAGCTACTATTTTACGCTGGTATTCTGTGAGAGAGTCCTTCTCCGATCGAGCCAACCTAATTGTGCTACGACTACTACTAATATAACTGCAGTATGGCTCTACCATGTAGTAATATGTACGGTGTAATTTCCATTACTTTCAATAAAACCACATGTGGTAACATTAACAATAGAAAACTTAATAATATGCTTTAAAGCCATTGAAAAAAAAGTATTTTGTGAGACAAGTTGAATTAGTTGCGGGCGAGTGTATATGAATAAATAATTAATTACGGTTCAAAAGTTTTCACTAGTCAATATGTTAGTGTTATTAAGCCGCAAAGTTAAAGACTACAATATATTGTGATATTTCTGGGGATCCCCAGTACCTAGATGTAAGTATTGGTTTTGAACCAAGTAACTTTCAATGTTATAAAATAATATGCAGGGTTGCATGATGTAATTTGAGGTGTTTGACGAGATTATGTGGGTATTAATTTTGAATGCGTCCTGTTGTCATTGAAAATGATATGCTAAAGAAAGTAAGTGTATTTCTAGAGAAATCAAAACTGAAAATTTATAAACACAAGGTAATTGTGATAAATATAATGCATACTTTTTTAACTGTTTTCATACTGAATTGTAAATAAGTGTAAGACCACATTATATAATATGATATATGATTTTACATAGCACTAATTAAGTATTGTGGAATAAATGAAATAAACTGTTCTTTTATATAATTTAAATATTTGTTTTCTTCAACACCATTTTTATATTTTCACTCTTATATCCTATTTGTAACATACCTTGCATTGAATTTATAAAATGTTCTAAGTTGTACACCAACTAACAACTTGAGAACTGAAGAGAGAATTGTGTCATTGCGTGACATATTCTATGCAAATTATATAAAAATTGGTAATTAGAGGTTGTTCTTTTTACAGGATTAGGCTGTGTCAATTAAAAATAATCTGAAGTGAAAATGGTATCAAAATGGTGGTATTTAAAAGTAATTTAAAATACAGTTTTCTTAATACACATACAACTATGTAAGATTTGGTAATGTAGCATATCATTGTTGCTTCGACATCCATTAATTATATTAATAAAGGTCTTGGTATTAAAAGTGAAAGGGAAAAATTAAAAGACTATATAAAAAGCTTAATCTAATTTTTATTTGTCGGTTTAACGTACAGACGTAAGGCATCCTCCCATCTCAAATATTGGCACACAGAACCATCATTACAATACAATCGACTAAAACTCGTTATCTGAGCACTATATCACTTCGGACCACAAACAAAATGGAATGTAATGTGTTCACAAAGGATAATGGAATGCCCTAATATAATATACAATAACTCAGAGCTATCCGATTGTTACACCACTAGAACCAGCCTGATACTAATATTAAATAAACATTCAAGACTAGAGTTCTTAAGTAAACACGCCGTGAATCTCGAAATATATATTTATAACACAACAATATGATGCATTAATGCAAAAACAAAAAAAACAAATTTGTGACTAACATCTGAAACTTAATATAACGGGAGATTCTTAAAATAATTTGGTTAGGATTTGGTTTGTGCTAGGTTTTAAAATGAAAGTTCGCTGATAAACACTGGAAGAAGTTGGCACGGACAGAAGAAAGGAAATAATAATACATCAACTTATAAAGGTTCATCAAACAGTGACACGCAGGATGTGAACGCTCTTTCGGGCAATTTGCTTATTCGCTAAGCCTTTCAAACAAATGCGAATTCCCGCTTATTTATCCATAGTATTTGGTTAATTGTTAGGAATTAAGTTAAGTGCTTATGAATTTTAATTTCCTTTTGACAGAAGAATTTGGTAAAAGATAAAAAAATTGATAATTCGTTTGAACAAGTATCTGAAGTAAGTTTGGCTTCGGTTAAGATGCGCAACAATAATAAGATGGTAAATTATACAAAAGCGATCTACATCCTGCATCCCGTTAGAAATACGCTTCGGTTTGAAAAAACCATTAGTAGACAAAAATATAATGTATAATATGTACACATTTAAATAGAATTAATGAATCTCAAATACTGTATGAAATACTGCTAAATTCACGACGATTTTTAAATATAAATAACTGTATAATAAAATAAATGGACGCAAATCAATTTACACTTATTGCACAAAACAAAATTATTAAAAAAAAAAAAGAAAAAACCACAACACTTTCGGCGCGATACTGGCCATGCCTGTTTTTATGACCTACGAAAAATTTCCTCTGAATCTGCAATTCCATGACAAAATCTCAAACGACCAATCCAGGTAAACATTAGGCACTGGTTTTTGCTAATAATATCAAAGCTAATTTCAATATTCAAACTTTAGGTATACAACTTACACGAATAATTAACGCTTTTGGTATATTTAAGCAACCCTCCTCCGAACAGAAAAATAAAGTTCATAATGGTCACAATAGATAAAATTATCCAGTTTTCTGATAGAGGAAGCGTAATATCCAATATAATCCAATACAATATCAACTTTAGCAGGATATGCAATGCTTTGCAAAATTCCGACTAGTTATCAATTTACCTAATTTACGTTTCACTGTGGGATAATACAAAAGCTCCTTATGTACTACATCCATCTATAGTAATGATATTTTTAGTAAAAAATATCTATTATATTGATCTTTGTACAAAACACATATAGCTCTTATTTATGTTTAGACAATATATTATATGATTGTTAATTTAAATATACACACCATGATTACACTGTTACTAAATTCATTGATATATGAAAAACTTAAAAATATATTTGTACTATTTATAATAAAATAAATGCCAGTTAAATAAAACACAAGCTTTTAAATGGCTATATACATTTGTACAGACATACCGTTTGTGCCAAGTCTCATCACTTGTTACACACTGAAATCGGTTTCAGCTCTTATTGACTTCGAAGTTAGAAACAATATTTATCAATACAGTATTTTTATAACAGAATTATTACCTAAGAGTAGGGAAGCTAGTTCTCTCTTAGAAGATTTTTTACATATTATGTATTGTTTTAAAATTTTAATGAAGGTGATTATTGTTTTATGTATTCATTACTTAATTCTAAGTTTAAGGTTCTGATAAGATTGCTTTTTTTATAAAATCTCTAGTAGAATATTGCGACTTCAAAATAGGTTTTTGTAAAAGTATACTCTCCTACTCTGGGTAATATCTTTTTCTATAATTTAAAATCTATTGCCAATTCCACACAGCCTACAAAATGCTACACAGAAAACTTTCAAACATACTCAAACACTGCGTAAACACTAAACAGACACACCCAAGAGGAGTATATCCCAGTTCCATATTCATAAGTTTTATGAAACAGATTATAAATAATTTATAAATTGAAATAAATCTTGCATTTATATTCCCACTATTTTCAGTACTATTTTGGACTTTCTAAGGAACTTTTTTTCAAATTGTCTTGAATATGTTTGGTATAAAAACGTTGATTTTATACATAGTTTTTACACACCCTAACACTTGTACATTTACAAATACATAACTTTAAACTTAATTTTACAATTGTTTCGAATAAATAGTGGAGAAGTTATTTATGAGTATTAACTGTAAAAATATATTTGTTTTCTTCATTAGCTTTTGTTAGCCCTAATGTTACGTTTTTCTTTATTTATTTATTCAAAATTCCATCAAGTTTTTTGTTTGATCGCAAATATTCACGAAACTAATTTTAAGAAAAATAATTTTTGCTGTTATTCCAGTTTTTACAAAACATTAATTATGTTTATTGACCTTCATTAGTTGTTTTTACAAAATGTACAAACTAAGCTACATAAGAAATAATGAACACAATTGCTCTATAAAAAGCTTTTTTTATCCCTAAACTGAGGTTGTCACAATGTTAAATAAATAAAAAATATCCCGGGTTCAGTTCCAGGTTTATCCATGTATCAGAAATTATGACAAAATGCAGTGAATGTTCGAAAATAGAACGCAGTAAAAGAAAAAAAAAACAAACGCAGTTCTTTAACTGCATTTTAATTTTCCTTTTCATACTATTTAATCAGCCTGCATCCATTTGCAGAAAGAATCGCCCCATTTGACAGGTATTTCATATCGAAGTTATCCATCAAATACGTAAATGTCTAACAATTTGGGGTGTATTCATTTGATCAAATTTTTTTGCATTGATGGTTACTTTCCATATACACAAAATATGAATTTATATACATATAGGTAGTATTCAATTTTTAGATCTAGATGTCAACTTGTGCATGTAAATCTCAGAAAATAAATAATCTATATTGCTTTTGAATATATATGTAATAATATGAGAATTAATTTCAGTAATACAAATGGCACCCCTATACTAAAATAATTTATAATTTCACTCAAGTAAATTGGAATGTTAAGATCATAAATTATTAATAAAAATACTTAACAGATGTTTGTATTCTCCCAAGGTTTTAAATATGTTCATAAAATTACTAAAAGCTTATTAATTACTTTATCATCTTGTGTAAAGGTTCATCAGTTTCCACATGCTCTCACGCTGTGACATTCGGGACTTTGGATTTATATAACTCTAATGACAATGCATACTACCACTGATTAAAATAAACGTGACACAAAGTCGCAATGTCTAAAACGGCAACGAAAATACTCAGTGCTTAATAAATTCGAAAAGAAACTGTACTTCATCTTCTCAAACCCGAAGATGCTCTTCAGATTGGTGACACTTTGTCTTGTCGGCACTGAAACCTTAGGAAATATTTTTAAGTGCAATTGTTCGATGACTGACATCACAATTTCGTGATCATACAAGGTAGTCGTCGAACTTTTTAAGCCTTCGCTACGAGTGTCTTGACGGCCTGCGTTCAGGTGTCGGTCCCTCCATTGTTTCTGGACTGAATCTGACTCTAGATTGAGAGCCACTCGAGGCGTCCCTAGCGGAAAGGTACGAACTATCAGTCTCGCTTGTCAAACTATCAGGCGGAGTTGGATTGGTGGGTGTACCCCCTCCAGAACTGCCGCCAGATGCACTAGATTTTTTATATTTCTTCAAACTAGATCTTAACTTGGTCGATGCTAACTCCAGGCCAAGGTTAGCCGGTCGTTCCAGCTCTGCTCTCTCTTGAGATTCTTGTCTGTAGTAGTCCCTAGGCAAGGAATAGTCACTAGATTTCCTCGGGTACTCTGTCCTTGGAGTTCTGTATTCCTCTCGCCTATCCTTTGTATACTTCTCTGTTCGAAACTGCCTGGAGGGAGAGAACTCTTCTGGATGTGAATTCGAAACAGAGGAGTTAGACGGTGTTCTACGATGAGTGAGATATGGAACTGTAGGTCTATAATCCGGTGTAGGTTCTTTGTATTCGAAAGAGCACTCGTCGTAGCCATAGTACGGATGTTTGACAACATAATCGGCCGTTCTCTCGTAAGAATATGGTTCAGCTCGATAGTAATAGTCCTGTATCCGGTCCTGGGATGCAGACGGTTGAAAGTTTTCTCTGTAGTTGTGGTAGAGGTCGGCTAGGTGGTCAGAAGTGGAGGAGGAGGTCCTCCGGGGCGAGGGTGTGGGGGGTTGTGTTCCAGTATAGGCGGTGCCGAGGCCCGAAGTACCGGTGTAGGCGGTGCCCAGACCGGAAGTCCCGGTGTAAGCGGTGTTGAGCCCGGAAGTGGCGGACAACGGTGGGGCCGAGTGGCCACAGCCGGACGATGAAGACGCATGCGCGTAATGACTGGGAGAATCCGTGAACCGCATCGGTTTCTGCTCCTCTGCTTGTAGACTAGATAGCTGAAATGTTAAAATGAGCCGTTAGTTATGTTTCAAATTGGCTTTTTAGCATATCTATATTTTGCCATATTTTTTAGAAATTTTGTAATTGATTTTAAATTGACTTCCCGGTGAGCTGAGTTGAAATATCAAACATATTTCAGAACTGGAAACATGGTAAAAAAAATGGTGGCCATTTTGAATTATATAGCTATAATTATTTCTCAAGCATTTTAACATTAGTGATGATGATGTCAATTATCCAATTTTATTTACAAAGGGTTATTTTAAAACTAATTTATGTAATATCTCACATTTAGTCCACCAACATTGCAATAGAAACATTAAAGTAAAATACTTACAGGAGACCCAGTAATTGCATTCAATGGAGCTCGCAGATGCCTCGTTGGACCGTGGTAGGTGTTGTGTGCGTATCCGTAGCCCTCATACAGTGATGAGGCCAATGGTTCTGTTTCTATTTCGGGCCTGGAAAATTTTATACAAAATTGGACACTTCATCATCAAGCTATGACGAGCATAGCTGGATATAAGTTTTTGCTTAATTGGAGAGAAATCTACTTCCCATAAACTATTCTGATTAATTTGGTGCCATTAGATTTGGTTGTGTTATTATTTATTTTCACCAATTTTTAAGTGGCAAATGAGCACACAGTCCATCTAAAGATAAGTGGACGCTGTTAGCCCAATGGCCGAGGATAGATGTAGACGTACATCTATTCTCGATAAAGATTAAGTTCAGATACATTGCCATCCTTGAGAACTAAGATTAATTAAGAAAACCTCACATCCACGACCAAAAAGGACTACGTCTCAGATATATATGTCATCACTGGCAACAGAGGAGGACATCACATTAAAAGAAAAAGACATGTATAATTAAAGATCCTCACCTGTGTGGTTGTAAAGTGGGGTGCAGTGGGCTAACATTCGACACTCTCACGTCATAACCGGCCGCCACACCACCAAGCAGCGCTGCCATGTTGTACAGCACCAGCTCAATGATGCTCGGCTTCTTGAATTTGTACCCTGAAATGATAGTCATAAGGTTTAATTGTCGTCTTTTTGCAGATAATAATATAACTGATTATATTAACATTAGAGCCTATTAAAGTCCACTGCTGACATAAGCCTCCCTCATAGATTGCTTCATAGGGGAGATATTCGCCATAGTTGCCACGCTCACCGTGTTGGGGCGGTGTAAGAATATCTGCTATTCCATACCAACCCGTGGGTATCGTAAGAGGTAACAAAGGGAAACAAATCAAGAGATGGGCAGCAACATCTTCCTAGTAACAACTGAAACTAAAAAAACTGTGCTTGTCAATCTGTCTGCCAAGATTGGCAACTATGGCAAATATCTCCTCTATGGCAAATATCTCTTCTATGGCAAATATCTCCTCTATGGCAAATATCTCCTCTATGGCAAATCCCCATGGCAAATATCTCCTCTATGCAAACCCTATGGCAAATATCTCCTCTATGGGAAATATCTCCTCTATGGCAAATATCTCCTCTATATATCTCCTCTATGGCAAATATCTCCTCTATGAGGCAAACTATGGGGAAAGCCAATGTTCAGCAGTGGACTTTAATAGCCTATAGCGGTAGTATTTAACGTGTAATGGTGTAGTCAGAATATCCACTATTCAATATACCCGAGGGTGTCATAAGCGGCGACAGTAAGAAGCTGAGCTAGGGGTTTGGGCAGCAGCATCTACCTGTTAACAATAAAATTGATCTTCAGTTGCCCACCCGCTTGCCCACAGCAACGCTTGCCTATAGCAACTATAGTAAATAGGAGGCAATCTAAGGGTCAATCATTCAATATACGCCTACGTTCAGCAGTGGACTTATGACAGGCTGTTGTGGTAGTGGTGGTCGTTGTTGTATTTATTTCCAAATATAATAAAATATCTTACCTTCAGTACTATAAAGTGTTGGCATTGGTATTGTATATCTGGAAGATGTGCTTAAGGGGAACTCTGGGCCCCAGTCGTCCGGACTGAAGTCTGTATAAGGAAGAAAACAACCTTGAATAGAAAACATAGGTATATTAGTTGCTTCAACTGTGTTTGAAGTGTGAAAGAGACAGAATTAGACAATTTACAAATGAGCTGTTAATGTAGGTATCTCAGGTTGAAATGAATTTGTCTGATCAAACAATCAGCCAGAAAGCGAAATTTAAAACATTTTTGGATTGACTTGTATGACTTTTTCATTACACTGAACATCATATTGCAATTGTTATAAAAGTTATTTCATAAAGTTTATGAGTAATAAGTAAACTTATTGAACAATATAAAACAAATTTAGTATAGAGTATAGACTTTAGAAATGGCTATCTCATAAGCGATAGTTAAATCTACAATCAAGGATTATATTAATGTAAGTTATAGCACATTACTTCTTTATGATAATAAACATACTACTTTACAATTTAGTTCTTTAGACACAATAATTCATGTCACATTAACAAAATACACACAATGATGTAGAAAATAAGATTTAAAATCTTTTGAAGAGCTCACTAAAGAATTTGGAGAACAGAAAATCTTGTATTTATAACTGATTGAAATGTTTAAGATGTGAAATATTGCCTTCTCCAAAATCATTAGTGAGCTTCTGAGCCACAAATGCATGCGAACATTTGCGTGACCTACGGACTACACATGCCAAACAGTTCATTCGAGGAAAGCAACATAAGAAGCGAAACAAAATGTGAATATATTATGAACAATCTAATATACTTACATGTGCAAATTAAACTCGACATGTCACTTTGTCTCGTACACGAAATCTCATAACTTTGTTAATATAGAAATTGTTATGACGGAGGATATTCCAGTTCTTTTCGCCTTTCCCGATTAGAGGTAGCCTGAGTGAGATAAGCGGAAGCTGATTTTTTTTAAATTCACATCTCTTTAATTCGTTTCGCCCTTCACCAATATTTTTAAATCTGTATTTTTATCTATATCGGTGAACTAAATCACTCTATGGCTTGTATTATTTTTTTTTAATTCTGAAATGTTACGGGGTTTGTTAGTAGCTAATTTATTAGTAGACCCATGTTAAAAGAATACACCAGCGTTGATTTTATGGAAAAGGTTTATTTGATATATAAAAAAGTACTAATTATATAATTATAAAGAACCAGGTCACCAAAGAGTTTCAATTATTTTCCATACTTTATAATAACTAATGTCGAACGAATTTCGGTCTAATTGTCGTCTCGTTTTTATAATGAAATCAGCTTCAATCGACACGGAACGAGCCTCTCGAATAGCGTAGGTCCACCACCACAGGAACATTGTTACGGCCAAGTGTTACAGCGGAATCTTTTGTATTCAATAACACTCCGAACTACTATCTAGTTTTGGAAGCCTATGTGACCAATATACAAATTATTTGAATTATTTAAAAAATAAACAAATTACCATATCTTATACAGGAGAACCATATAAAGGTATATTTTACCGGTACATAAAAAATTACCTAAATCAGTTATTAAACTTCGGATATATGTTTCATTACATATTAAACATACAGTCAAATTGAAAACCTCCTTTTTGACGACGGCTATAGAATAAAAAATAAAACATTTACTTTAAATATAAAAACACCAAATGTACATACTACACGCCATAACTGGCGTGTATTAGATGGATAGTGTTAATTTAAAAAAGATAAAAAAACAGTTTCAAATCACGTAGACTTCCAAATACACGTTATTAGAGTCATTGTAAACATTTGAAAGCGTGCCATATGACATGGTGATATAGAACGAAGCATATCATACAAACTAACGAATAAAGTAAGTACGGACAAATACATATATAATTTCTTATATTTTACCGTAAATAGCGTATAACTATGAACTGCTAAGCATGCATAGCTCTTAATGATAACGTACAAACAAATAGGCTGAAAGCAAACAAATGCTTACAATTTACAAAAAATTTAAAAAAAACTGTCTAAAATGAATACTTAAAAATTACGAAACGAGGATTAAGTTAAGATTGACATTTTGGAGAAACAAGAACTAGGTATATAAAGCACACGCACACACATTTTCGGCGTAACACATGGCAACTTTTTTATTGAAAACTACAAAAAAATCATAGTCAGTAACTTATTTAACTACTTTCCCTAATGTCTGCCACAGTTAAAAGGTAATTGAACATAAAGACAAATTATTTGTGACATAAGCATAGTAAATGCTTTTAGAAAAATACTGAAATTGTTTATATAAATATATTTTTTTTTTCTATAGATAATTTGTAGTATGATTATTTGGATACAAGATTTTATTTGTAACGCAATTAACAAATAAAAAAAATAATACTCACAAGGATACAGAATATTGTCTTGAGAAGTCCCTTTAAAGCAGCAATCAACAATGCAAATGGCCGACATTAGAAAAATAAAACCTAAATTCTTTCAATAATATCAATTGAAAGCTTGAAAAATATACACTAGATTTCAACTCAGTGCAATGAAAAATTACTTGTGAAGAAACCAATTTTTTTCCTATTTTTTTTTTAAAAACTTTATTCAAGGTTTCTTGCACAAATAATTCCATTGCGAATCATTCACATAAAATTTGGCAAGATCCTAAATTTTCAGTCAGCAAGAAACTGTAATAATATGTTATGTAAGTCTTTAAGAATTCCTGTTTAATATATCTAAAATAAAATAAGCTAAAGAACCTAAAACTTTATTATCTAAATACGACCACACTACAATAGTAGTAGTAAATGCTGGCCACAATGATTAAAAAACAAATAATTTAGCTGTGTTATTTGCAAAAAAATGTATGTTTTATAAAAATATAACAATAATTTTATTTAGTTATTTAATTTTCAATAAAATTTGGTCAGATTTTTTGTCTTCTGTATAAAATATAAAACTAAACTACCGTTGGATGTGGCCATGCACTAGTAAAACTAGTTATCAAATAACCTAAAAAAATAAGTCTTTTTTATTTTTTTCAATTATCTTAACTAAAATTTTAACAACTAGTACCAAATCCTTGGAACTTAGAACGATAAGGCGTATTTACACTTTTAATGAATATTCACTTGTAACATTCTATTATTTTATAGCAGTCGAAAAAGATAGTGAGATTAGTGGCATAAAATTAATTTAAGAGGACTTTAAATTAGAAAATCCAGATAAAATGCACATTTTAACAGGAATGTGTTAATAAAAATGATATGTTTTCAATATGGCAACACATTTGTACATTACGTTAGCTGATCTGTATAATTTAAAAAGTGGTGAATGATTAAATTAAATTAAATAAAAAAGATCAAGCTATGATTGTTTAATATGTTGTAATTTAAACTAAAAATTTGTACATTGTTTTTATTGTCAACAGTAACGGAGTAAAAACTTATACTTCTAAAGCAATTTTTAAGTGTAATATTCACACTTCTATAAATCTTATTTTGACAAGAAGATTTAGAAGTTGTGTTTAATTTTATTTAGTTCCTACTCGTCTTTTAACAACTCTGTGGTCTCAGATGTTAGGTTCCCCGCTACAGCCAAAAGTCCGGCTAAACTATTAGACCGAATGCTTTTGAGGAAATTTCTTTTGACTTCTCCTTGACTGCCTTTCCTTCTACCCTTTTCGACTGCGTCTATATCAAAGACCGTGTCATAATGGTGGTGAATGTCCGCGGTGGAGGTGAACATTGGACAGAGGAAGAATCTGTTCTTTCTGGGCTCTGTGTTCTCGTAGAGAAGGTCGTCATGGCTGCCGCTTCGTTTCTTCCCCAGCTCGGACTTTGGCGTGCGCACTTGTGATTTGGATTTGCGTGGCTTTCGCTTGGTCTCCTCGATCGCGCCTATGGCTACGAGTCCTGCGGCCCGTGTCTCGTTTTATTTACTTATATATCAAAATCATATTCAGTTCCCTTATTGCAATATTTAAGAGTCCTAGCCTCTCAACTAACAATAATTAAAGACATATATATGGTCAATATAAAATATTATTATAAATTACTTTTGGAAATTACTACAGCTACTATAACTTAAAAATATCAAGCAGTCATCCTTGATCATGAGATTCTGATATGAAATAACAGCAGCGATGTCTTTATATAAATATAGATGGTAAATTTATACCTAATTTAATTGAAATTACAAATTTCTAAGTCATAAGACATAATAGCTACAAAAAATAAAGCTATAAAAGCTATAAAGTAAGGTTGTGTAATTATGACATTTTTTGTTTTTGTTTATTAAGATTGTGAGATGCATGTGACTTTGCTTGTGTTTTAATAAGTATATTTGTTACAATTGGGCGTCCAGTTATACTTCTACTAATGGGTCTGGTTCTACTAATGGTACTGTACTAATGGGTCTACTAGACCAGGGAAGGAACACAATCTGATAAAATTCCAGGGTTAAATAGCTGCTGTACAGACACAGGACTAGGACTAGTAGACAGGTAATTTATTTAATCCATAGCTAGCTAGCTTGTTACAGTTGTACGTACATAACTATAGATGTACATACTTAATTTTCCCTTGTGAAGTCATCATCCGGTGGACTGTGCGACTCCTTGTGTGGCGGGCACGCGTAAGTTGCTGAGCAGTACACGGATACAGAAGTCTACTATGTCAACTATTGAATGTCGAACTAAATTGTAGCGCAATGTGTCGTGTGTGAGCTGCGTATGGCTAATCGGTGTCCTAAATATTGTATATATTGTAAGCGTGTATATGTTTGCAGTGCAGTGTTGTAGTGTGATGTGTGAGTGAGCGTGTACAACAAAACGTGTACGAGATCAGTGCAGCGCTGTAGTGTGATGTGTGAGTGATCGTGTGTACGTGTGAAGATGTTTGCAGTGCAGCGTTGTAGTGTGATGTGTGAGTGATCGTGTGTACGTGTGAAGATGTTTGCAGTGCAGCATTGTAGTGTGATGTGTGAGTGATCGTGTGTACGTGTGAAGATGTTTGCAGTGCAGCGTTGTAGTGTGGTGTGTGAGTGAGCGTGTGTAGTGTGAAGATTTTTGCAGTGCAGCGTTGTAGTGTGATATGTGAGTGATCGTGTGTACGTGTGAAGATGTTTGCAGTGCAGCGTTGTAGTGTGGTGTGTGAGTGATCGTGTGTACGTGTGAAGATATTTTGCAGTGCAGCGTTTTAGTGTGATGTGTGAGTGAGCGTGTGTACGTGTGAAGATGTTTGCAGTGCAGCGTTGTAGTGTGATGTGTGAGTAATCGTGTGTACGTGTGTAGATGTTTGCAGTGCAGTGTTGTAGTGTGATGTGTGAGTGAGCGTGTGTACGTGTGAAGATATTTTGCAGTGCAGCGTTTTAGTGTGATGTGTGAGTGATCGTGTGTACGTGTGAAGATGTTTGCAGTGCAGCGTTGTAGTGTGATGTGTGAGTGAGCGTGTGTACGTGTGAAGATGTTTGCAGTGCAGCGTTGTAGTGTGGTGTGTGAGTGAGCGTGTGTACGTGTGAAGATATTTTGCAGTGCAGCGTTGTAGTGTGATGTGTGAGTGAGCGTGTGTACGTGTGAAGATGTTTGCAGTGCAGCGTTGTAGTGTGATGTGTGAGTGAGCGTGTGCACGTGTGTAGATGTTTGCAGTGCAGCATTGTAGTGTGGTGTGTGAGTGAGCGTGTGTACGTGTGAAGATGTTTTCAGTGCAGCATTGTAGTGTGATGTGTGAGTGAGCGTGTGTACGTGTGAAGATGTTTGCAGTGCAGCATTGTAGTGAGGTGTGTGAGTGAGCGTGTGCACGTGTGAAGATGTTTGCAGTGCAGCGTTGTAGTGTGATGTGTGAGTGAGCGTGTGTACGTGTGAAGATGTTTGCAGTGCAACATTGTAGTGTGATGTGTGAGTGAGCGTGTACAAGTGTGTAGATGTTTGCACGTTGATTTCAGTGCAGCGTTGTAAGTGTACTGTGCACGGGGCAGTGCAGTGTTGTAGTGTGGTGTGTGAGTGAGCGTGTGTACGTGTGAAGATGTTTGCAGTGCAGCATTATAGTGTGATGTGTGAGTGAGCGTGTGCACGTGTGTAGATGTTTGCAGTGCAGCGTTGTAATGTGATGTGTGAGTGAGCGTGTGCACGTGTGTAGATGTTTGCAGTGCAGCATTGTAGTGTGATGTGTGAGTGAGCGTGTGCACTTGTGTAGGTATTTGCAGTGCAGTCTTTTAGTGTAGTGTTTCTTGTAGTGTAGTCTTATAGTTGTGGGTGCGAACGTGTGCATGTGTGCACATATTTGCAGTGAAGTTTTGTAATAGGGTGTGTGAGTGGTTGTGTGCATGTGTGTTACAATGTAGCTTTATAGTGTGTGTGTGTGTTTTCAGACAGCTTTGGTGTGGTGTTAGAACAGGGACGTGTTTGTAATGCAGCATTGCAGTGTGGTGTGTGAGGGGTGTAGTGTATAAAGTGCGTGCGTGTGTGTAATAGTTGTGTGTAGTGAGTCAGGATCTATTATAGAGCAGCGTTGTAATGCGATATGCTAGTGTGCGTTTGTTGCGTCTATGCATGAGCAGTTAGCGGTGTGTATGTGTGTACGTGTATGAGGTGCATGTATGCGCGTGTATGTTATAGTATATTTAGACAGCGGCTGATGGGAGTGTAGTACATATTCGTTAGTGTGCGTGTGTGCGTATATGGATTGTAGTATGTTAAGACTGCGGCTGATATGTTTCGGGCGCAGACTAGTGCGCGTTTGAAGGTTTATGCGCACGTAGGTATCGGTGTGTGCATGTGTGCGTGCGTACTAGTGCTTTTGGTTGCGTGTATGTAACGGTATGTTTAGACTACAGCTGGTGCGCGTGTGTGCCAGTACCTGGGTGCGGAGGGCGCGCGAGTGGCGCGAGGGGCGGCAGGTGCGGCGCGGAGCAGGAGGGCCGCTGCGCGCGCGGCCTCAGCGCCGGCAGCGGCAGGTGCGCGCGTGCGCGCTGGTGACCCGTGGACGGGCCCCACGTCTTGCCCTTCACGCCGTCCGCCGGCACTGCAATTGTTGTTTCTTAAATTTAACACTCACGGTGAGCATATTCGCCAGATCGAGAAATCTTGGTAGATGTTAAATGTCTTAATAGTAAAATGTTTCGTGTTTTAAAATAAAAACTAAAATTTAATTTCTACACGGTAGAGTCAAATTACAACATATAAGAATGGGTGAGCTCCAGCACGAGGTGACAAGTGTAAATGACAGCTTGATGCGTTTGTTTCGTTTACTAAATGATTATTTACTGATAGAACCGTGGTAGCTCAGATGGTTAACACTTGCTGTAAATATAACAGAACGCGAGTAACTCGGGTTCGAACCCCGCCGGCACCAATGAAATTGTTAATTGCAATTTTAAGTGCTGATTTACCACATGCTAGGCGGTGAAGGAAAACATCGTGAGGAAACCTGCATGTCTGAGGAATAAGAAAAAAATATTTCGAAGACATGTGAAGTTCGCCAAAACGCATTGGGGCAGCGCGCCGGACACTTCCTTGCCCTAAAACCCCCTCAGAAATGAGGGGAGGCCTGTGCCCAGCAGTGGGACGTATATAGGCTGTAACTTTACTTTACTATTTAATGATGACATCCGCAAAACTAAGCTACAGTACGGCCAACTAGCAGCGCGAAAGGTCATTTACCTTAAAAACGACTGTGGAGTTGACAACCTATTATCTGTTTCCATCTTGTGTATTTATAGTAATGTCTCGTTTTCCCGGTAAAAACATGCCAGGATAAAGATGGGTTCGCCAACATTCGGGAGGCGATTTTAGTAATAATACCGTCCGTTTCAGAACGCGCTTGTGGTTATTTGTTAAATTTTTTGTTGTTTATTTAATTATTGTTATTTCGTTTTGTTGATAATTGTTTTTATTAAGAGTGTTAATGATGGAGGCACAACCAAGTACGTCAAGAGATAAATCAACAGATTTTACTTCTCCAAAAAGGAAACGTCCAATATCCATAGGAATAGGATATAATATATGAATGTTGATTAGTAGTTTTAATTAAAACTTCTTGGTTCGGAGTGTACTTTAAAGTTATTTAAAAAATAGCAACCGCAATAATAAAACTTTTCTTAATTTATTAAAGATGCATATAAGTAAAGTACGTATATAATTTTAATTTAATTTTAGGTAACTAGTTTTACTATAAATGAAAAACATATGGTTATTAATACCTACAAATATGTTAAAGAAACTTGGATTAATGGTAAATACCCAGAAAAGACATGGAGCAGAAAACATTTATTTAATTTTAATCTACATTATACAATACCTCAAATTATAACGAAATTTATAAAATATGTATTGTTTTGGTTTGCTAGACTTTTTTTAAAACTATACTGTACAATATATATATATATATATATATATATATATATATATATATATATATATATATATATATAATAAAATTAACCTTTAGCAAAAAAAACAACAAAGTTTTTTTGGTACAATATCACATATTATATAAAAACGTAACAGCTCGAAGGACCAAAATGTGCAAATAAAAAATATTCAAAGAAATGTTTCATTTTGCACCAGGATCGTAGCTACTTAATTTTCTTATTTTTAATAATAACCTATTCAAAGTGAAATAGCACCTAAATTTAAAAACTTAAAAATAAAACACATTGCTGTAAAAACACTTGTATAGTCACATCATGCAACCATCGAACAAAAGTCAAAAGTGGAACTAAAAATATGGACTAACAAAAATGAATACAACTAGCAGAAACTTTTGACGAAAATATGATTTTGGTCAGTAGTGTCTGCGTTTCTGACGAAAAGTAAGAAAGAAATTTCAATAAGCAAATATATATATATATATATATATATATATATATATATATATATATATATATATATATGTGTGTGTGTGTGTGTGTGTGTGCGATTTGTAACTCCTTAAAAATTCATTAGTAAAAATCAAATAAATGGTAATTACTTACGCACCTGAAGTTGTTAGCAGAGTCTGAAAGAGTCGCCCTTGAAGAGTGTTTACATCGTAGACAGAGAAACCTATAGACTAATGATTAGCGTGGCGCCGAGTGAGAAAGGATGATAACGTAGTTTTAGGTTATACAATAATCTTTATGCCTTTAAAACATATTTAGATAAAAAAATTTATTGTTCTAAGAACTGAACTGAACAAGATTCACCAATCTTAAGCTCACAAAACACTTTTTTCTCACTTAAACGAACTTGTAAACTCCTAACATTGCTACGAACTGTCAAAAACCGTCACGGAGAAAAGGACAAACAATCACACTGCTCTGTCTCATTTCTATACAAGACGTATGCATAAACCTATATTTTTCGTGTGCGAATGCGAAAGAAGGCGTCAATTTGTCTATAGGTTTCTCTGTCTACGGTTTACATACTAAACCGGTGACAAATCGAAAATAAGACAAGTTAAAATTACTCAACTAAATGAAGCGAGAGAGGAAGGTCGTGACTGCGCCAAATGGAAGTCCGTAATCTCTACCAACCCCTCTGAGTGGCGGGCGTGAGAGTTTATATTATGTAATTATTTATGATACTTACGTGCTATTGCCCTCATAATGGCGGGTGATCCTGGCGGAGTATCCTTAGCGACGGCTACGAGCTGTTTCACGCTGGACTCGTCGTCGGACGGTCGAACTGTCAGAGTATGTCGGAAATCAAGTGGAGATGAGATCGTGTCTTTCTTTAAGAGTTTTATTTTGCTGAATTTGCCTGGAAATCAGAAATTAGTCATAAATGTGTTATAATACCATAGGTATGATTTATAAATGTGAATAACCTACAATGGAAATTAAATAGACGGTAAGGCTTCCTCTCTTTCTAAAAAATTACTTTTAATACAAGTAAATAATGGGTTGCCATTGTATAGGTGGCCCAAAGCCTTTAAAGCAAATTACCCTTCCGTTTGTTGGGCTGCGGCGGCTGACTATGTGACATGTTGCTGGCAAAGATGAGAATGTGAAGTTCTCTTGCAGCCAGGTCGATCTCTCGCATCTCTAGCTCCCTCTCCTTCTGTGCTAGGTTTTGTTCAACCAGCCTTTGCTGTAATTGGGCTCGAGTTAGTTCTTCTTCCCGACATCGAAGCTCCTGTAATTGTTAAGACAGAATAATAAATCAGTTATCTAAACAGAAAAATTGTAATTACAATATTGAAAAGTCTGGCAGATATACGGCATATCCCACTTGTGCACTAAGTGGATACTAGACTATAGATCGGATATTACACTCGGGTATACACTTTGTGGGATTTGCCGTTATCATTTAAAGGCTATTAAGAATTGTGATTTATCATTGTGTAATATCGACACCTGCAGTCACCTGGAACAATGAAGGCTAGTGACCTCTCAGACTACTATCATGGGAGGTGGCCAACAGAGACTTGTCAAAGGTTTAAAGTCCACCTACCATCAGCAATGTGCCTGAAAAGCGTGGTGATAACGGCAGAATCCACTGGCTGTCTAGAAATAGACTTAATCGAAATAAAATCTTAGGAAACGAGCTAACAATTTACCTGATGGTAACTTGTTGCTGCACAGTCATACTAAGTGGACATCTAAATCCGAACAAGACCGCAGATGTCGGTAACCAGATGTAGCCTGTAATGGCTCTAATCGAGGACACGAAATAGTTAAAGAGTCCTCTGTTAATTAAATCTGCTGTATGAATCCAAAACCCAAATCAGACACAATCATCTGATTTCTACTATCTACTTTTTTTTTCTAAATTTTATCTATAAATACTAAAAAGGTGCAAGGAAGAAAAAAAAGTCTAGATATAATCAATGTGTATTTCTAGTAAATATATTTTAAAAAAATCATAGAAATTTGTATTATAATCAAAAATATTAAAGTAAAAATATTAAGTACGTAAATAAAATATATTTATAATTATTATATTGCTACTAACCTCCTCAATAGTTTTGCATTCCTAAGTGCAAGCATTAGTATGAAAAAGCATTTGTATGTTAGTTTGGACACATTACACATATATAAAGTAAGTATAATTGTTTTCTAATATGGTATAAAATAATTTAAGCCATAATATGACAAAAATATATTAATATTTATGACAATTTTATCAACACACAGTGTACTCGCGACTTTTTGTTGCAGACTTTAGAATAACTAAATATAGGTAATCTTAGATATTAGGACGAAACAACGTTGATCTTAGAGTAAATATATAAAAAGCCCAATAGTTGGGCACAATTTTAATTTTTAACCGACTTCACAAAGGAGGAGGTTCTCAATTCAACTGTATTTTTTTAATGTATTCTGAATTCTTTTCTCTGGGTGAACCCATTTTGATAATTCTTTTTTTATTTGAAAGCTGGTGCTTTTTATGTGGTCCCATATCAATTTGATCAAGATTCCGACCAATAGTATTTGAGTTATCCTTAATAATGCTCATTTATTTACTTCGACTATATTGATGATGTTCTCATCTTATTTATATTAAAGTCGGTTGCACAAAATTTTTAATTTTACCATATTATTTCACGATTATAGAGTTTGGGAGAATCCATCACTGCTTTAATGGGGTGATGAGATGGTTATCACTAGCACTTTAAGTAAGTAAGTTAGTAAGTAAATAATAAGTCAATTTTTATTCAATTTTCTTCAATTTCAAACAATATTTTGGTAAGAACTTTTATGATAAGTACACATATATTTTAAAGTTTTAAAACAGTTCAGCTTTTCGAATAAAAGAAGATAAACATTGTTAACATTTGTAGGATATTAAACAACAACTACCTTCTCTTTCCTTCTTAAATCTCTAAGGACCTCCTCAATTTCCAGTCTCCAGCCGTCTTGCATGGTGTGGAATGATTCGTGAGGCGCCCTCGTGAACTCTGACTGGCGAATGTGCTCTAACTGTTCCAGGATCTCGGGGAACAGGGGCCTCTCCCGGGGATTGGAGTGCCAGCATGCTGAAATACAAACACTTTTTTTGTAATAACTGTTGCTTTGCTTTGTGGTAGAAGTCAGAAGGGATTAAGTCTTGTCAGTAACAGTTGCGTTGGGTTAATGGTGTAAATGATAACGACGGGAATAAGTTTTAAAGGTGCGACTGCGTCTTGCCATTGCTATTGCCATAACTAATCCGTCTGGTAAGCGTGGCAGTTATGTTAAATCCAATTACCTTGAACTGAGATTTTACAAAGCTGTTTAATTGTGAGGCGAATAGAAACAGATGCAATAAATACCAGTGAACTAGATATCCTTTTTCTAGCAACGAAGCATTCTATATTTGGACAGATTTAGGTGTTTACATAGGCTAACGATAGAAAATACCAAGACCGATGACGGACAGAAGTGTCAAATTTTCGAGAAGTCTGGTATTGCAATATATCTTTAGTGACAAAAAAGTCCACAACTTTTCTTACGTGGTTGCTGCAGCTATATTATGGTCATAGCACGAATGGGTCGGCTCGACCGGGGAAGGACCACGCTCTCACAGAATACTACTGTGTTTTGTATGGTCAGTGTAGAGATCTGGAAACCCTTTTTTTACTGGAAACGAGGCGTTCCATCTTAGTCCTCAGGTGTGACAACGCATCTGCATTTTGATTCTTAATCGAGGATATATGTATATGTCTATGGGCCACAGCAACCACTTACCATCAGGTGGACTGTGTGCTCGTTTGTCACCCTTATTCTGTAAAAAAAAACAAAAACACATATTGACCCAAATCACACTACACTCACCTTCCATCAGCACTCTCCATGGTTCAGGGCACGTGCTGGGTATGGGCAGCGTGAGTTTGTTGACCGCGACCCCGTACGCGACTGCCAGTGCATCGATGCCCTTGTAAGGAGTTTCTCCAGTCAGCAGTTCCCATAGAAGCACTCCATACGACCACACGTCAGAGGCGTGCGAGAATGTCGAGTTTTTTATCACCTGCAATGAACATAGAAAAACTTAATAAAATACTAGCAAGTATGTGATTAAAATGTGCAAAAGTATGTGCGTAGACTCAGGGTCAACAGCTTTTGTGTCTTCCAAAGGCTATTATAACACCACGAACTTCCCGAGTCCGGGTTGCTACTAAGAATTTCTTGATAGTAAAACTCAATAACTGATTAACAACCACACAAGTTTTCTATAACAGAGTGACAAACGAACTAACCGGAATACGAAAACGAATAACCGCCCACCGCCCGGGCGGTTATTGCAACCCACAAGTACTTGCAACCAATTTCAAGCAAAGAAGGTTACGGGTGCGTTTGTGAGCCCCTGAGCCAAAGAAACATATTAGTTTATAATTAAATTGAATTCTCCAGACCTTATAACTGGATTACAGTCGTGCACGTTTTATGCTTAAAAAAGTAAGACGGTCGAGGGAGGGAGGATCCACCGTGTTCACAAATAACATTAAAGTTAAAAAAAAACACTTTGTCAACTTTTTTTCTAGATTACGGGTGACAAACGAGAACTTTTGGTAAGCGAATGCTGTGGCCCATAGACGTCTATATTTATCCTCGATTAAAAATCAAAAAGTAGATATACGTTGTCATACTTGAGGACTAAGAGACGGAATGCCTTGTTTCCAGTAAAAAGAGTCTCCGATTCTCTCTCTACACTCACCAGACAAAACACAGCAGCATAAAGCTGCTATTTTACGCTAATATTATATGAGAGCGTGGTCCTTCCCCAGTCGAGCCGATCAATTCTTGCTCAACCATAATATAAATGCAGCGTGGCTCTACCACGCAATATAAGCACGCAAGGTTTAATAGTTTTCCTCGATTCGAAATGATTCGTGTAAAAATACGAGTACACATTGTGTCACACACAGTGCGTCGTTCTTTTTATTTACGCCTTTTGTGTCTAAATAACGCGAGTTTATTTAGACAAAAAGTAAATTGTATTATTATTTATTTGCCACGCTTTGTATCCTAAATGGCTTGATGAATTTTAACATATCGGGTGTCATTAAATTCGTCTTAGTTGTTGAAGTGTCCTATGGTATAAAATTTTTGTCTTTTCAATTAACTTTTTATCTCATTCGGTTATTTTTAATTACTGTTGTGACCTTTAAGCTTGTTATTGAATGTTATTGCGACTACATAAACATCGCGGTACCAGAATGCTGTTAATAAATATATAATAAAACGCGGATATTTTAATACCCCCTGTCAATGCCGGCGACAGCTCCGTACCGTGGGAAACAGATTAGCAATCGGTCTAATACTTCGATAGTTTAATTGGATTTGTAAACTAGATTGGAGATTAGTTTATAAAGGTAGTACGTGTGCTACTTTTGAGATGTTTTATATAGACCAGTTAAAATTATGTTTTGTAATTAATATTGAACTTCTTTTGGGTTAAAGTGAGGAACGTCATGTAGTGGTGATGTAAGGGGATCGACTAGCCCGTATCAAATCGTCGGTGTCGTAAGAAGCGACAGAGGGAAACTGAAACAGGATATGAGCACTAGCATCTATCTGGTAACAAAATAACAAAAAAAAACTGCGGTTAACAAGCCGACTTTTCAATTATCGCGAATATCCATCCTATGCAGCAATCTATGGGGGAAGCCTACGTTTGGCAGTGGACTTCAGTATGTTTGTAGTGGTAATGAAAATGAAAGGCTGTGATAGCTCTGGGGCAACATGGTCGCCATAATTATCACAGAAAAGCAAACCGGGTTAGAGCGCTGCCAACATCAATGAAACTGGTAGTTACAATTTTAAATTCCGGCGATCGAGAATAACATCGTTACGAACTAAATCGATAGGAAATAGGAATAAAATATTTCATGGACATCGAAGTCCGCCAACACTCATTGAATTAATTGCCTCCATAATTTATATACCCTTCAATAATGAAAGGTCTGAGCCCAGGAGTGAGCGTTTTAGGCTTAAACAATTTTTTATAACATACTAGATGACTCAATAACGAAAAAACGTCTGAGCCCAGAAGTGAGCTTATTAAGCTTTAACTAATTTTTATAACATAACTAGATGACTCAATAACGAAAGAACGTCTGAGCCCAGTAGTGGGCTTATTAGGTTAATTAATTTGTATAACATAACTAGATGACTCAATAACGAAAGAACATTTGAGCCCAGTAGTGGGCCTATTAGGGTTTAACTAATTTTTATAACATACTGGCCTGGCCATCTGGCCAAGTAGAAGTTGTTGTGCCCTTTCCGACGACTCTTTGTCCTATAAAAAATCCTTAAATCCACAATAAAAAATATCGAGGATCTGGATAAAAACTATACTATTTTTCAAGTTGGAGCAACCAATACATACTTACAAAATTACATTAAAATCGGTTGAGCGGTTTCGGAGATTGGTGTGAACGAACATGGTGGCACGGGATTTTGACTTCATATATAAAACCCACACGGAATCATTATGTTTTAAAGTATCTTAAATTTAATGTAATTAATTGTATACATAATTACAGAAATGAATATTGCCACGTCCATTTTTGGCAATAAAGAAGTAATAAGGAAACCGAAGCTAATGCAAAATAATTGGTCACACGGTCGTGAAGATAATATTGTTTGCTCGACTAATTAATATTTCAATGTACTTTATTTAATGTATAACTTTTTTCTTTTTAATCGAATTATAACAAGTTGCGTACTTTTATTAGACGAAATAAAAATTGAGGAGTTTGTGATATTACTCAGTTCACCCACGAGCCAAAAAATGAAACATTTTATTAAAGTTTAATTTATTTTTAAGGAACATGATTACCAATAGTCACAGGTTGTAGCAGCTCAGCGTTCGTTAATTTCGTAGAACGCGAGCAAACCGAATTCGATCTCCGCTGGCAGGTATGGGTTTTATTTAAAAAAAGAATACAATACATATTTAAAAATAACAATCATCATATCATCAAAATCAAAAATGACAATCAACAGTATTTCATGCCGGCACACCGCCTGCAACTTTACAAGGCGCAGGTTCGGCCGCACATGGAATACTGTTCACATCTCTGGGCTGGGACCAGACCACCCCCAACCGGATGTTGCATCTCTTTGCATTTTCTTTCGCATATACCATGGGTGCTCTGAAGAATTGTTCGGATTAATCCCAGCCGCCAAATTTCGTGAACGCACTACGCGGCAAACGTCCCGATACCATCCACACCATCTGGATTCTTGGCGGTCCACCACTGTACGTTTCAAAAGGAGTTTTCCGCGTACAACCTCTCTGTGGAATAGTTTACCACCGGCGATTTTTCCGGACCGATACGACCTGGGGACCTTCATGAAAAGAGCTTACTCCTTTCTAAAGGGCCGGCAACGCACCTGCAATTCCCCTGGTGTTGCGGTTGATCATGGGCGGCGGTAGTCACTTAACATCAGGTGAGCCGCATGCTCGTTTGCCCCCTCTTCTATAAAAAAAAAACAAAAAAAAAGATACGTGCGGAGTTTCTTTAGCCGTTTCTTCTGCGGGCAGAGGACCCTCATTTTGAGACGTCAGTACATCAAAAACATGAAACGATAGAACATTAGACAAATGAAATTTCGCAAAATAGTTTTCATTTCATTTCACTTCATCCTACAGCTGAACATGAGTAGGAGATGAGTTGATGCTGCCCGTCGGCGGTCTGGGTGGGTATTTTACATGTTATAAATAAAATATTTGGGATACATCTTTTCGTATAACGTATACCTAAAAATTGAGTGTGATAACCTGTACATGCTGCTAGTGATAACATATAGATCTGTACGTGGTCCTTCACTGCGAGCTGTATGTGGAAGTTCAAGGCTTCGGAGAGGGCTACTCGGAGTATTTCTGCGCAAACGTATTCGGAATGAGGATATGCGGCAGTAGAACCAGAGTAATCGACATAGCACAACGGATTAAGTAGGCTGAGGTGGCTATGGGCCAGCCATGTAAGCTAAAGAACAAAAAACCGATGGGGAATAAAGGTTTTCGAGTGGCAGCCTCGTACCGGTAAGCGAAGTGTGGGGCGGTTCCCCACTAGATGTAGTGACGACCTAGTATGAGATGCAGGGAGTGAATGGATGCAGGTGGCTCAGGACCGTGTTTTGTGGCATTCTTTGGGGGAGGCCTATGTCCTATAGTGGACATTTGATGAGCTGTAATCGTGTACATGATATTAAGAAATTTAATGATTTTCTTTTAGGACTCTTATAACAAAAATATGACGTTTAGAGAAAAACATAATGTTTAAATGACAGTTAATGTAAATTTTAAATAATACTAGTTTTTACGGAGTTTATCGCTTATATTAACTTTTTTTTTATATTTTATAAAGCGAACAGAAATTAATAATTTTAATCTGTGATAACCGCGGTTAACTATGATATTTGGACGTTGAACATCTCAGCCCACCCGCCCGTGACCACGGGTGCTGTAAAGTGCTCGAAACGTCGGGAATATAAAGAAAGTTAATATACGCGATAAAATCCGTAAAAATTAGTTTTATTTAATGTAAATTTAATACAGCTGCAGCCCTGCTTCTACCACGTTTAATAAAATATATGTCTTCCAAAAGGTTATATACCTCGGGTGGCATCCAGGCGTAAGTCCCCGCAGCAGACATCCTCGTGGTCTTGTACACCTCGCGCGCAAGTCCAAAGTCTGTGATCTTGAGTGTCTTGTCTTCTAATGTGTCCTCCGGCAAAATCGTCTCGCTCAGTAACACTAAAACAAAGAGACAATTACCATTAGTCGTTTGATTAACTCATAAATAGTCAACAACAGGCCTTGGGCCTCTCCCACAGCAGGGAGCGTTTTTTATAACCCTCAGTTTTGGCGAACGGATTGCTGATCGCAGTTCCAGATGTCTTGGCATTTTATGCTGGTTTCCGCCGCCACTTTTAGCCGTAGATAAATACGTGATGGTCTTACTGTCACATGTTTTAGGTCTTTCCATTAGTTGAATTTTCCGAGGTCCATGGTATGAAATGTGGTGATAGATTCTCTGATTTCGTCACCACACACCTTAATTAATAGAGTTGTACCGATTAGTACTTTGGCCGCTTGGCCGATTAGCCGATTAATCGGTAAGAAATGGCCGATTAATCATAATCATAATCATAAATCATTTATTTGCAAGAAATATGGTTGGTACACAAGATGTTAAAGTAACTTATAGCACAGGACATATTTCACCCTCATTACGGGCATGCAAAATCATAGTAAATTTACAACAATTATTTGAATAAAATTACAATTATTAGAACTATTTGAATAACAATTCATAAGAAATATTTTAATTGCAATTATAACAAATCGACCCAGCCGATCCCTATCCGATGATAAATTCAAACGGTGGAACAAAAATTCTTCCAGATATCCAGAAATATCCCGTTTAGTCAAAGTTTTCCTTTGCTGCCCCGCCAGCTCTGTGTATTGTGAGAGAATTTTTTCTGAGGCAAAGAAATCGACTTCAACCACAAAAGGCTAAGATTTTGACCTTTTTGCATCACAATTTGCCAATGGTTAAAAATAACAAATAAATTAAATATTTTCTAAAAAGCCTTCAATACTTTTTCAAATTGAGTATTTCTTTTTTACAAATTATTAGATGATTATAGATTCTTTAATAACATTACAGGAAAAAAAAAACAATTTATTGTAATTTTAAGTACAGAAAAATAGCACTTTGATTTAATTTTTAGTACAAAAACAATAACAATTTAGTTTTAAGTACAGAAATAAGTATGTTCGATTTTTCTTTTAAAAATCTATATGCTTGTAGTTTAACAAACTTTATTCAAGAATTAAGTTTTTTTGTTATGCAAAGGGAGAGACTTAAAATTTGTTTTTTTTAATAGTTAATAAGAATAATATTATTAATATTTTATTTTGTTATGTCACTACTCTGCATTACGATTAAAAGTTAGTACTATGGTTTTTGTTTAGTTTTAAATAGCTACCTCAGATTATTTTTTTTTACCAAAGTTATAAGTAATTTAAGTTATAAGTATTTAAATTATTTCCAGAATAATTAACATTAAAACATGTGAGACTGATTTTTTCAATAAAAGTTATGTATGAACCTACTTATTTTATAATTTATTTGATTTACCTACATATAAATCTGACGTGAGTTTAAATTTAAGAAAGTATAGTTTCTCTCCCATGCGTAAAGCTTTACTCATATCAATGTAGCCGCAATTATCACGCAGAAAATCACGAAAAACCTTACCTTTTGAAATTAATAACATAAAAAGCCGATTAATCGGTCTACAAATAACCGGACTAATCGGTGGCTACAAATAGGCCGATTAATCGGCTTCACCGATTAGTCGGCGGCTAATCGGCCAACTCTATTAATTAATAATAAGCTTAATTGGGACTATGGGAGAATAATAAATCGACATAACGAGAAAACTGTATGACGGAGTTGTTGCAAAAATTACAAAGACGTTATTTTTATGTTTGTGAACGAGTCATATTACAGCAACGTTAAAATTGTTGAGATATAATAATGTCATGTTTTTTTTTACAAATTTCATGGTATAGACTAACACGGGGACCGGAAAGTGGCTCGAGTTGTTTAATGATTTTATGGTCACCAGAAGCCAGAGAATGTTATGTAGAATTAAAAACAGTATCGATCACTGTGTAATATTTAAAACAAACTAATTGCTATTTAAAAAAACACCCAAAGGCGCATTACGTCAATCATCTAAAAACTCCGACATTGACAAACGAAAGTGCGCACGTGGGTGTCCACGTGGGTCGAACCTAGAATTATGTATGACCTGAACGGATGAGGGATTTTGTCTAGGCCGACAGCTAGACTTAATTAACGATATAGACCCGGTGCGGTATATCATTAGCAGTTTAATTTATAATGCAAAGTTTAAACTATTTTTATTGTCACCGCTGTATTATTTCATAATATTAATTATTGTAGTTAAACATTCATTTGAGGTCTAAACTGTTAGTAAGTTTAAGCGGTCAACCAGGGGCAGTCAAACTGTAATTTAGAGTCATAATGGTCGCTCTTACAAAAGCTGTTCGTTATTTAAGGGGAAATATAACCTCAAATGGCTTAGCAAGATCCTCCGTTATGTCGAAAATATTGCAGTATTAACTTTGAAATCAATATATGGTAAAGTTGAGGATTAACGTTAAGTACTATGTTAGACGAAAATACGATTCCGTAAAATTTTCTCGATAGAAAAAAAATCCAAAGTTACCTCCAAAATAAACAATAAACCGCTGTTATTCATAAAATACTTTAAATAAGATCATGACACTTTGCATACCAACTGAACTATAAAGCAGTGCTTATGTTATTTACTTTTTATAAAATACCATTATTTTTACTGTAAAAAGAAATTACCTAAACTATCGGCTTCTTGAAGCTTGATTTCTGCCGCCCGGTCAGTTTCGCTTCGGCCTTTGAAGGGGGAGGTTGTGTCGCTTACGATCAGAATACACATTACGCAACAGGACGACGTAAAATTAAAATGGGAAATAACCGTAATAAAAATAAGAAGCGACTAGGTTGGCGTTAAGAAACAGGCATAAATATGATAAACCTAATGAAATAAGTATCTAACGACCTATCTACTTACAGTATTAGTGGTTACCAACATGTCGGTACATAGCATACGACGCGCGGGGAAGTGGGGGCGAAATTTGAATTTGAGCTGACTTACTATATCCTCTTAATTACAGCAACAGAGTTACAAAATTGCGCTTCGGATCCGAGAAACAATTTGAGTTTTTGCACAAATACAGCTGAGATTCAGATCTGGAACTGCAGGTTCCAGATCTGAATCTCAGCTGTATTTGCGCGGTAGCAAAGTGCTTTGCTACTAGCAAAGTCTTTTTTACACTAATTTGTTAAAACATAATTTATATGTCGTAACAGGGCTCCTTGGCGCAGTGGCTTAGCAACGCGTTGCGGCCGCGGGTTGGCATCCTGCACGGAACTAGTATTTGTATGGCTTACAAATAAATGTTACGTGCCTGGATGTTTGTCCTCGTGAAATGTTTGAATGTAAACTGCCCCCACGATAAACGAGAAAATCTTAGTGTGGAAGTAATGTAAAAAAACGTATACCTAAAATGTCTAATGCAAAGCACACACCTCTTTACCGTTACTACGAAGTGCAATGGAGCATGAGTGTCGTTTTTTTGAGTGGTAGAGCCATGCTGCAGCTATATTAGTGGTATAGTTGTAGCACGCAGGGGCGAAGCTTCCATTAAAGCCGAAAAGCCGGGCTTTAAACTAAAAAATTATTGAATCAATCAATAATATCAACTAACAACTAATAAAATAACTCGTAAAATGTTTCAAGCTATTCCAAATTTCCCGCGCACTCCACTGTTCGACACATGTCGACCGATGACCTCGTATTGCCTTAGCGATACTGCTGCTGTCATAAAAAATGAGTTTTAATAGAGCTAATAGTTGTCTCCCTCGCTCGCGTGGGCTTTTTACGGGGCTTTCGAGAAGACGAACCGGAGACCCTTTTTACTGGTAATGGATACCCCATTCCCATCTTAGTCCTCAGAAGTGACAACGATTCTGCATTTTGGTTCGTTATCGTTGATAGATGTAGATGTCTATGGGCCACAACAACCACTTATACATACAGGTGAACTGTGTGCTAGTTTGTCACCCTTATCTTCTTATAAAAAAAACAACAACATCTGTATTGCTCTAGGGAGTCCAGCTAGCAGATTGGCTTCCTATCTCTTTCGTCTGGTTAAACGTTCTATGAAAAAAATATTGATTGATGACAATATTGATCAAATTGCGCTAATTATAAATTTTGGCAAGATGAATTAAAAGCAATGTTTTCGAGATCGCATTGTGTGCTATAAAATATGACAAAACGGATTCCGCTCGAAAAAAGAAATATCTTAAGAAAAATGTTTAAGTGACAAATAAACTTTATTTATTCAACTTCATATACGAGTACAGTGTAATGTACATAGACAGACTTAATGCTTGAGGCATTGTCATTATCTGAGAAATGAAAAATATTTATATATATCCCTATACACAGAAGTTTCTATAGATTTTCTTAACAGTAACTTCAGTGTGGGTTAAAGTGGAAGAAAAATCGATTTGTTATTGAGGCCGAGTCGACCATTGCTGTTAGGTCAGGACTAAAATAAACTTGTGTCGACCTTCAAGTGTTTTAAGTTAAAACAATCGTTGATAAAGCATTGCCTGATTAAGCAATATACAGTACATTAAGGTTTTCTATTTAAAGAGAAATTTTCATGTCTATAATCGGCCTGTTATTTATTTTCCTTTGTGTTAAACTACCCACACTATGATTATACGTCTGATATATTGTTGGAACAATAAGTGCCGCAAACTTGACACTCATTTTACTGCCTTGTAGTTTTATATGTTTACGATCGTATTCATCATAAGTTACAAATATGTAAATGGTTACAAACATTTTATATATTTATAGGTCCCAAAATAACAATTGAAATCGTGAAATAATTATTTAAAAAAAATCTGTAGTCTTACACATCCCGCCTTATATACAATATCTTGCTCTAAGTGCATATACGTAGAGCAGGATTTTAATGAAAATGAGAAACATTTTATACCTATATTAAGTCACAAAATAAAATTATTTAAAAAAAGTAGTCTTATACGTTCCGCCTCCTTTACAATATCGCAGAGTAATGTAAATACATAAGCAGGATATTGA